AGCTCTCTGTGACGGGGTTCCTGTGTCAGCTCTCTGTGACGGGAAAATCTTCAGGTCTCAGCTGTCTGTGACGGAGATATCTTCCTGTGTCAGCTCTCTGTGACGGGGATATCTTACAGTGTCAGCTCTGTGTGACGGGGAGACTTTCTTGTTTCAGCTGTCTGTGACAGGGACAGATTCCTGTGTGAGCTGTCTGTGACGGCGATACCTTCCTGTGTCAGCTCTCTGTGACGGGGATATCTTCCTGTGTCAGCTGTCTGTGACGGAGGGATCATCCTGTGTTAGCTGACTGTGACGAGGATACCTTCCTGTGTCAGCTCTCTGTGACGGGGATATCTTCCTGTGTCAGCTGTCTGTGACGGGGAGACCATCCTGTGTTAGCTGTCTGTGACGGGGATATCTTCCTGTGTCAGCTGTCTGTGACGGGGAGACCTTCCTGTGTCAGCTGTGTGTGACGGGGATATCTTCCTGTATCAGCTGTCTGTGACGGGGATATCTTCCTGTGTCAGCTCTGTGTGACGGGGAGACTTTCTTGTTTCAGCTGTCTGTGACGGGGACACATTCCTATGTCAGTTGTCTGTGACAGAGATATCTTCCTGTGTCAGCTGTTTGTGACTGGGATATCTTCCTGTGTCAGCTGTCTGTGACAGGCACACCTTCCTGTGTCAGCTGTCTGTGACGGGGATATCTTCCTGTGTCGGCTGTCTGTGACGGGGATATCTTCCTGTGTCAGCTGTCTGTGACAGGGATATCTTCCTGTGTCAGCTGTCTGTGACGGGGGAAACTTCCTGTACCAGCTGTCTGTGACGTGGACACATTCCTGTGTCAGCTGTCTGTGACGGGGATATCTTCCTGTGTCAGCTGTCAGTGACGGGGATATCTTCCTGCGTAAGCTGTCTTTGACGGGGAGACTTTCTTGTTTCAGCTGTCTGTGACGGGGACACATTCCTGTGTCAGATGTCTGTGACAGGGATATCTTCCTGTGTCAGCTGTCAGTGACGGGGATATCTTCCTGTGTCAGATGTCTGTGACGGGGACACATTCCTGTGTTAGCTGTTTGTGACAGGGATATCTTCCTGTGTCAGCTGTCTGTGACGGGGATATCTTCCTTTGTCAGCTGTCTCTGGCGGGGACACATTCCTGTGTCAGCTGTCTGTGACGGCGATACCTTCCTGTGTCAGCTCTCTGTGACGGGGATATCTTCCTGTGTCAGCTATCTGTGACGGAGGGAACATCCTGTGTTAGCTGTCTGTGACGAGGATACCTTCCTGTGTCAGCTCTCTGTGACGGGGATATGTTCCTGTGTCAGCTGTCTGTGACGGGGAGACCATCCTGTGTTAGCTGTCTGTGACGGGGATATCTTCCTGTGTCAAGCTGTCTGTGACGGGGAGACCTTCCTGTGTCAGCTGTGTGTGACGGGGATATCTTCCTGTATCAGCTGTTTGTGACGGGGATATCTTCCTGTGTCAGCTCTGTGTGACGGGGAGACTTTCTTGTTTCAGCTGTCTGTGACGGGAACACATTCCTGTGTCAGTTGTCTGTGACAGGGATATCTTCCTGTGTCAGCTGTTTGTGACTGGGATATCTTCCTGTGTCAGCTGTCTGTGACAGGCATACCTTCCTGTGTCAGCTGTCTGTGACGGGGATATCTTCCTGTGTCAGCTGTCTGTGACGGGGATATCTTCCTTTGTCAGCTGTCTGTGACAGGGATATCTTCCTGTGTCAGCTGTCTGTGACGGGGATATCTTCCTGTGTCAGCTGTCTGTGACGGGGATATCTTCCTGTGTCAGCTGTTTGTGACTGGGATATCTTCCTGTGTCAGCTGTCTGTGACGGGGATATCTTCCTGTGTCGGCTGTCTGTGACGGGGACACATTCCTGTGTCAGCTGTTTGTGACAGGGATATCTTTCTGTGTCAGCTGTCTGTGACGGGGACACATTCCTGTGTCAGCTGTTTGTGACGGGGATATCTTCCTGTGTCAGCTGTCTGTGACGGGGATATCTTCCTGTGTCAGCTGTCTGTGACAGGCACACCTTCCTGTGTCAGCTGTTTGTGACGGGGATATCTTCCTGTGTCAGCTGTTTGTGACGGGGATATCTTCCTGTGTCAGCTGTCTGTGACAGGGATATCTTCCTGTGTCAGCTGTCTGTGACGGGGATATCTTCCTGTGTCAGCTGTCTGTGACGGGGGAAACTTCCTGTACCAGCTGTCTGTGACGTGGACACATTCCTGTGTCAGCTGTCTGTGACGGGGATATCTTCCTGTGTCAGCTGTCAGTGACGGGGATATCTTCCTGCGTAAGCTGTCTTTGACGGGGAGACTTTCTTGTTTCAGCTGTCTGTGACGGGGACACATTCCTGTGTCAGATGTCTGTGACAGGGATATCTTCCTGTGTCAGCTGTCAGTGACGGGGATATCTTCCTGTGTCAGATGTCTGTGACGGGGACACATTCCTGTGTTAGCTGTTTGTGACAGGGATATCTTCCTGTGTCAGCTGTCTGTGACGGGGATATCTTCCTTTGTCAGCTGTCGCTGGCGGGGACACATTCCTGTGTCAGCTGTCTGTGACGGCGATACCTTCCTGTGTCAGCTCTCTGTGACGGGGATATCTTCCTGTGTCAGCTGTTTGTGACTGGGATATCTTCCTGTGTCAGCTGTCTGTGACAGGCATACCTTCCTGTGTCAGCTGTCTGTGACGGGGATATCTTCCTGTGTCAGCTGTCTGTGACGGGGATATCTTCCTTTGTCAGCTGTCTGTGACAGGGATATCTTCCTGTGTCAGCTGTCTGTGACGGGGATATCTTCCTGTGTCAGCTGTCTGTGACGGGGATATCTTCCTGTGTCAGCTGTTTGTGACTGGGATATCTTCCTGTGTCAGCTGTCTGTGACGGGGATATCTTCCTGTGTCAGCTGTCTGTGACGGGGACACATTCCTGTGTCAGCTGTTTGTGACAGGGATATCTTTCTGTGTCAGCTGTCTGTGACGGGGACACATTCCTGTGTCAGCTGTTTGTGACGGGGATATCTTCCTGTGTCAGCTGTCTGTGACGGGGATATCTTCCTGTGTCAGCTGTCTGTGACAGGCACACCTTCCTGTGTCAGCTGTTTGTGACGGGGATATCTTCCTGTGTCAGCTGTTTGTGACGGGGATATCTTCCTGTGTCAGCTGTCTGTGACAGGGATATCTTCCTGTGTCAGCTGTCTGTGACGGGGATATCTTCCTGTGTCAGCTGTCTGTGACGGGGATATCTTCCTGTGTCAGCTGTCTGTGACGGGGATTTCTTCCTGTGTCAGCTGTCTGTGACGGGGATACCTTCCTGTGTCAGCTGTCTGTGACGGGGATATCTTCCTGTGTCAGCTGTCTGTGACGGGGATATCTTCCTGTGTCAGCTGTCTGTGACGGGGATATCTTCCTGTGTCAGCTGTCTGTGACGGGGATATCTTCCTGTGTCAGCTGTCTGTGACGGGGATATCTTCCTGTGTCAGCTGTCTGTGACGGGGATATCTTCCTGTGTCAGCTGTGTGTGACGGGGATATCTTCCTGTGTCAGCTGTCTGTGACGGGGATATCTTCCTGTGTCAGCTGCCTGTGACGGGGAGACCTTCCTGTGTCAGCTCTCTGTGACGGGGATATCTTCCTGTGTCAGCTGTGTGTGACGGGGATATTTATCTGTGTCAGCTCTCTGTGACGGGGAGACTTTCTTGTGTCAGCTCTCTGTGACGGGGAGGCCTTCCTGTGTCAGCTGTCTGTGACGGGGACACATTCCTGTGTCAGATGTCTGTGACGGGGATATCTTCCTGTGTCAGCTGTCTATGACGGGCATACCTTCCTGCGTCACCTGTCTGTGACGGGGATACCTTCTTGCGTTAGCTGTCTGTGACGGGGATATCTTCCTGTGTCAGCTGTCTGTGACGGGGATATCTTACTGTGTCAGCTGTCTGTGACGGGTATATCTTCCTGTGTCAGCTGTCTGTGACGGGGATACCTTCCTGTGTCAGCTGTCTGTGACGGGGATATCTTCCTGTGTTAGCTGTCTGTGACGGGGATATCTTCCTTTGTCAGCTGTCTGTGACGGGGATATCCTCCTGTGTCAGCTGTCTGTGACTGGGGTACCTTCCTGTGTCAGCTGTCTGTGACGGAGATATCTTCCTGTGGCAGCTGTCTGTGACGGGGGTACCTTCCTGTGTCAGCTGTTTGTGACGGGGATATCTTCCTGTGTCAGCTCTCAGTGACGGGGATATCTTCCTGTGTCAGCTCTCTGTGACGGGGAGACCTTCCTGCGTCAGCTGTTTGTGACGGAGATATCTTCCTGCGTCAGCTGTCTGTGACGGGGATATCTTCCTGTGTCAGCTGTCTGTGACGGGGACACCTTCCTGTGTCAGCTCTCTGTGACGGGGAGACCTTTTCGTGTCAAGGAGCAAATAAGAGGCTTTTATTAATATTTACAAGATGTCCTTCATCCAGAAGTGATTCAGTTTGGTGCACGCTGTTCCTGCAATATGTGTGGAGACCGTATAAACCAAGATTCCTGCTGTCATTCCTGCAGTACAGACCAGTCGGTCTTACCGGGTTCCACGGCTCCTGTCAAACCATTTTATTGATCAAGTAACAGATGCTACCCTGACATTTGAAGTTGCCGCTCATCACCTACATAATTGATACACATCATATTGAGTTTCATTCGAAGAACGTAAGTTGACTTTGCAGAGAACAGGGCACACGTGAAACAGAATCAATGGACTGACATAACAATAGTTTATACGACGAGGCATACTAATATAGGATAATAATAAATAGTTTCTTAAACATGAAGACTACCAAAACAGTAAAGATTAGAATAACGAAGCTATGCATATGCTAACACAGAAACCCTCGGATACCAAATTATTGCCAACACTTCTACTCAATAACCTCGAAAAAACCGTGTTGGTAGCCTTGTATGTATAGATTTGGATAACCATTTCTGAAAACGAATACAGCAGTGTGCCTACAGTACTTACCACAGTCAGAGCAAGCCACGACAATGACGTGGACAACAACCAACCCCTGCACACCACCTGCCACGCATACCGTCACGTGATCAGTCAGACTATACGATTACAGGAGCCCCTTTTTTTCCAGAGGAATATCAATATATGTGAAATGGTAAAGATATATTAACTTTTAAACAACTTCCAAAATGTCATGTTTAGTATAGAGGGAAGTATTATAAGTTGTATAACATTAAACGGCCCTTGCAATGTTGTGGCTTGTCTGTTGGATTGTCCTGGGAAAATGTCACAGTAACAATGATTCTCGTTTAAGTCAGAACCGAAGACATGCTCTTAGTGCATACCAAAACGAATCTAGTTGAAGTACTATCAGAAGGAGAATGTCTTGATATGTGAGGATTCAAGTCATCAGGTGACATCCTGAAATTATGAGGGACAGTCTTGGTGTCAAGTGACATCTTGGTATAACGAGGGACAGCCTCCATGCCCAGTGACATCCTGAAATAACGAGGGACAATCTCGGTGTCTAGTGCTACTTGGTATAACGAGGGACAGTCTCGGTGTCCAGTGACATCTTGGTATTACGAGGGATAGTCTGGTGACCAGTGACATCCTGAAATAACGATGGGTAGTCTCGGTGACCAGTGACATACTGAAATAACGAGGGACAGTCTCGGTGACAAGCGACATCTTGGTATAACGAGGGATAGTCTCGGTGTCCAGCTACATCCTGAAATAACGAGGGACAGCCTCGATGCCCAGTGACATCCTGAAATAACGAGGGACAATCTCGGTGACCAGTGACATCATGAAATAACGAGGGACAGTCTCGGTGTCAAGTGACATACTGAAATAACGAGGGCGATCTCGGCGACCAGTGACATCTTGGTATAAAGAGGGACAGTCTCGGTGTCCAGTGACATCCTGAAATAACGAGGGACAGTCTCGGTGTTTAGTGACATCCTGAAATAACGAGGGCGATCTCGGCGACCAGTGACATCTTGGTATAAAGAGGGACAGTCTCGGTGTCCAGTGACATCCTGAAATAACGAGGGACAGCCTTGGTGACCAGTGACATACTGAAATAACGAGGGACAATCTCGGTGACCAGTGACATCTTGGTATAACAAGGGACAATCTTGGTGACTAGTGGTACTTGGTATAACGAGGGACAGTCTTGGTGACCAGTGACACACTGAAATGACGAGGGATAGTCTCGGTGACCAGTGACATCCTGAAATAACGAGCGACAGTGTCATCCTGAAATTTCGAGGGAAATCTCGGTGACCAGTGACATACTGAAATAACGAGGGATATTCTCAGTGTCCAGTGACATCATGAAATAACGAGGGACAGTCTCGGTGACCAGTGACATCCTGAAATATAGAGGGACAGCGCGTCGCTCCAAGGGGAATTTCCTTCGAGTGTATGTGTTAAACCAACTCTACCGATATGCTCGCACTATTACGTAACTACATTGATAGGGAGTGGTGCATGTTAATAGGATTATAACTATTGCAAATTAAAAGACTATTGCAATGCTACTGTAATAGTTGGACCACAATGGCAATAGTGATACGAGACTATTTTTACCTTCTCACATTTCAGAGTTCTTAGATAAGGTGGCAAATCTAGATATGTTGTTTTGAAATCAAAGGTATTTCTGATTTTTGTCTCAATGGATACCACCTTGTCTCCTCAACAAGGTGTTAATGGATGAGAACAAATGGTAAACAGATTATGTTGCAAATCTACTATATTTATACTACAGAGATGGGCGGTATCGATGTTAACTTACATCATCTTAAGTTGCCTTCGACCCAATTACTCTGTTATACACTGTGCCGATAGTTTGATAACAATTTCCACCTTGACGTCAGCCATGGGAATTAGTTACCATGTATTATGATTATCAGTATTCTCACTATATATTCCAGTGGTCAATGACAACATTTTGATATCAAATCATGGTGTCACGGTGAGCCAGAGTAGTGACGTCATAGTATCAATGACGTCCTTTACAATAGACGATACGTACAGTCACCAGATATGCTCGTACAGGCTTTTCTTTCTAAAAGCTCATGGCCTATATGTCACCAGGAGGCAGGGGCCAGGAAACAATCAATACATCTTCCTTCTTCACTTCTCGCTAGAGATATACATGGGACACAGGGTATAGGGTAATGCACGACATTGCCGTGAGAATCAATAACGCCATCATAATGGGTAGGACATAGTATTGGCAGATGGTAGGAGACACTGGGGCACACGGTATGTGTGTAGTTTGGTTTAAATAACTCGCCAAGTTCCTACGTTTGTAATGTTGTATGACAATTACATACAACACATTTGGTGTTCAATGAATTTCATAGCCAACAACTTGGAAATATGTTTCGGGTCAAAAAGAAGAAAACTTTCATTCATTTCACCAGCCTCAGTGCACAGTACACCTCTACATGTCCCACCAGCTGCAGTACACCTCAGCATGTCACACCAGCTGCAGTTCACCTTGGCATGTCACACCAGCTGCAGTACACCTCGACATATTACACCAGCTTCAGTACACAGTACACCTCTACATGTCACACCACCTGCAGGACACCTCGGCATGTCCCACCATCCACAGTACACAGTACACCTCGGCATGTCACACCATCCACAGTACACAGTACACCTCGGCATGTCCCTACAGCCGCAGTACACAGCGGCATGTCCCACCATCCACAGTACACAGTACACCTCGGCATGTCCCACCAGCCGCAGTACACAGTACACCTTGGCATGTCCAAACAGCCGCAGGACACAGTACACCTCGGCATGTCCCACCAGCCGCAGTACACAGTACACAGTACACCTTGGCATGTCCCACCAGCCGCAGTACACAGTACACCTCGGCATGTCCAACCAGCCGCGGTACACAGTTCACCTCGGCATGTCCCAACAGTGGCAGTACACAGTACACCTTTACATGTCCGTCCACCTGCAGTACACCTCGGCATGTCCAACCAACCGAAGTACACAGTACACCTCGCCATGTCCCACCAGTGGCAGTACACAGTACACCTTGACATGTCCCACCAGCCACAGTACACAGTACACCTCGGCATGTCCCACCAGCCGCAGTACACCTCGGCATGTCTCACCAGCCTCAGTACACAGTACACCTCGGCATGTCACACCAGCTGCAGTACACATTGGCATGTCACACCAGCTGCAGTACACAGTTCACCTCAACATGTTACACCAGATGCAGTACACCATAGCATGTCCCAACAGCCGCAGTACACAGTACACATCGGCATGTCACACCAGCCGCAGAACACAGTACACCTCAGCATGTCCCACCAGCTGCAGTACACCTAAGCATGTCCCACCAGCCGCAGCACACCTCGGCATGTCACACCAGCTGCAGTGCACCTCGAAACGTTACACCAGCTGCAGTACACCTCGAATGTGTTACACCAGCCGCAGTATACAGTACACCTAAACATGTCCCACCAGCTGCAGTACACCTCGGCATGTCCCACCAGCTGCAGTACACCTCGACATGTCCAACCAGCTGCAGTACACCTCGAAATGTTACACAAGCCACAGTACACAGTACACCTGAACATGTCACACCAGCTGAAGTACACCTCGGCATGTCACACCAGCTGCAGTACACCTCAGCATGTCCTACCAGCCACAGTATACAGTACACCTCAACATGTCTCACCAGCTGCAGCACATCTCGGCATGTCAAACCAGCTGCAGTACACCTCGAAATGTTACACCAGCCGCAGTACACAGTACACCTCAACATGTCCAACCAGCTGCAGCACACCTCGACATGTCAAACCAGCTGCAGTACACCTTGGCATGTCACACCAGCTGAAGTACACCTCGGCATGTCACACCAGCTGCAGTACACCTCGGCATGTCATACCAGCTGCAGCACACCACGGCATGTCACACCAGCTGCAGTACACCTCGGCATGTCACACCAGCTGCAGTACACCTCGGCATGTCACACCAGCTGCAGTACACCTCGACATGTTACACCAGCCTCAGTACACCTCGGCATGTCATACCAGCCTCAGTACACCATACACCTCGGCATGTCACACCATCCGCAGTACACCTCGGCATGTCACACCAGCTGCAGTACACCTCGAGATGTCACACCAGCCGCAGTACACTTCGGCATGTCACACCAGCTGCAGTACACCTCGGCATGTCACCAGCTGCAGTACACCTCAACATGTTACACCAGCCTCAGTACACCTTGTCATGTGACACCAGCCTCAGTACACAGTACACCTCGGATTGTCACACCAGCTGCAGTACACCTCAGCATGTCACACCAGCCTCAGTACACAGTACACCTCGGCATGTCACACCAGCTGCAGTACACCTGGGCATGTCACATCAGCTGCAGTACACCTTGGCGTGTCACACCAGCTGCAGTACTTCTGGGCATGTCACACCAGCTGCAGTACACCTCAGCATGTCACACCAGCTGCAGTACACCTCGGCATGTAACACCAGCTGCAGTACAACTCGACATATTACAGAAGCCTCAGTACACCTCGGCATGTCACACCAGCCTGAGTACAAAGTATACCTCGGCATGTCACACCAGCTGCAGTACACCTTGGCATGTCTCACCGGCCTCAGTACACAGTACACCTCGGCATGTCACACCAGCTGCAGTACACCTCGGCATGTCACACCAGCTGCAGTACACCTCGACGTGTCCACAAGCTGCAGTACACCTCGACATGTCACACCAGCTGCAGTACACCTCGACATGTCACACAAGCTGCAGTACACCTCGACATGTTACACCAGCCTCAGTACACAGTACACCTCGGCATGTCACACGAGCCTCAGTACACAGTACACCTCGACATGTTACACCAGCCTCATATAGGACATATGATGGCTATAGGACTCCAGGCATGTCCGCTGTTGTTGGTCAACTCTTCAGCAATCTTTGACATATCGTGCTATAGGACACCAGGCATGTCCGTGTTGTTGGTCAACTCTTCTGCAATCTTTCACATATCATGGCTATAGGACACCAGGCATGTCCGCTGTTGTAGGTCAACTCTTCAGCAATCTTTGACATATCGTGGCTATAGGACACCAGGCATGTCCGTGTTGTTGGTCAACTCTTCAGCAATCTTTGACATATCATGCTATAGGACACCAGGCATGTCCGTGTTGTTGGTCAACTCTTCAGCAATCTTTGACATATCATGGCTATAGGACATCAGGCATGTCCGTGTTGTTGGTCAACTCTTCAGCAATATTTGACATATCATGGCTATAGGACACCAGGCATGTCCGTGTTGTTGGTCAACTCTTCAGCAATCTTAGACATATCATGGCTATGGGACACCAGGCATGTCCGCTGTTGTTGGTCAACTCTTCAGCAATCTTTAACATATCATGGCTATCGGACACCAGGCATGTCCATGTTGTTGGTCAACTCTTCAGCAATCTTTGACATATGGCTATAGGACACCAGGCATGTCCGTGTTGTTGGTCAACTCTTCAGCAATCTTTGACATATCATGCTATAGGACACCAGGCATGTCCGTGTTGTCGGTCAACTCTTCAGCAATCTTTGACATATGGCTATAGGACACCAGGCATGTCCGTGTTGTTGGTCAACTCTTCAGCAATCTTTGACATATCATGGCTATAGGATAACAGGCATGTCCGTGTTGTCGGTCAACTCTTCAGCAATCTTTGACATATCGTGCTATAGGACACCAGGCATGTCCGTGTTGTCTGTCAACTCTTCAGCAATCTTTGACATATCATGGCTATAGGACACCAGGCATGTCCGTGTTGTAGGTCAACTCTTCAGCAATCTTTGACATATCGTGGCTATAGGACACCAGGCATGTCCGTGTTGTTGGTCAACTTTTCAGCAATCTTTGACATATCATGGCTTTAGGACACCTAAAGAGATGATGTTCATAATGCAAGAGAATGCATTTTGGAGAAATTAAAAACATGTTCTAAGTGCAAAGTTAAAAAGGTCAAATAAAAGTCAAAACTTAACCTATCGCAAAACAATGAGAGCATTTATGCTGAGCCCCACAACTAAGTACACATATGCCAAATTTCATTACATTTTGAATAATAATGACCATGAAATGGCTATAAATAGCTCTTACAACATGGCTGCCATGGATGCAAACCTCTTGTACACAGTTGCTGTCAATGGTCACATTGGAAATTGTAATTGAACCTCGAAAACAAATTGGGGCTTCATCACTGGTGGGAAGAAGCAAGTGAAGTTTCACCTTCATTGGACCAGTGGTTTCAGGAGATGCTGTTTACAGGGGCTGTCACTAGCATTGGTCCAGTGGTTTCAGTAGATGTTGTTTACAGAGGCTGTCACTAGCATTGGTCCAGTGGTTTCAGGAGATGTTGTTTACAGAGGCTGTCACTAGCATTGGTCCAGTGGTTTCAGGAGATGTTGTTCACAGAGGCTGTCACTGGCGTTGGTCCAGTGGTTTCAGGAGATGTTGTTTACAGAGGCTGTCACTAGCATTGGTCCAGTGGTTTCAGGAGATGTTGTTTACAGAGGATGTCACTAGCGTTGGTCCAGTGGTTTCAAGAGATGCTGTTCCCAGAGGCTGTCACTAGCATTGGTCCAGTGGTTTCAGGAGATGTTGTTTACAGAGGCTGTCACTAGCGTTGGTTCAGTGGTTTCAAGAGATGCTGTTCCCAGAGGCTGTCACTAGCGTTGGTCCAGTGGTTTCAGGAGATGTTGTTTACAGAGGCTGTCACTAGCGTTGGTCCAGTGGTTTCAGGAGATGTTGTTTACAGAGGCTGTCACTAGCGTTGGTCCAGTGGTTTCAAGAGATGCTGTTCCCAGAGGCTGTCACTAGCATTGGTCCAGTGGTTTCAGATGTTGTTTACAGAGGCTGTCACTAGCGTTGGTCCAGTGGTTTCAGGAGATGTTGTTTACAGAGGCTGTCACTAGCGTTGGTCCAGTGGTTTCAGGAGATGTTGTTTACAGAGGCTGTCACTAGCATTGGTCCAGTGGTTTCAGGAGATGTTGTTTACAGAGGCTGTCACTAGCGTTGGTCCAGTGGTTTCAGGAGATGTTGTTTACAGAGGCTGTCACTAGCGTTGGTCCAGTGGTTTCAGGAGATGTTGTTTACAGAGGCTGTCACTAGCGTTGGTCCAGTGGTTTCTAGAGATGCTGTTCCCAGAGGCTGTCACTAGCATTGGTCCAGTGGTTTCAGGAGATGTTGTTTACAGAGGCTGTCACAAGCGTTGGTCCAGTGGTTTCAGGAGATGTTGTTTACAGAGGCTTTCACTAGCATTGGTCCAGTGGTTTCAGGAGATGTTGTTTACAGAGGCTGTCACTAGCGTTGGTCCAGTGGTTTCAAGAGATGCTGTTCCCAGAGGCTGTCACTAGCATTGGTCCAGTGGTTTCAAGAGATGCTGTTCCCAGAGGCTGTCACTAGCATTGGTCCAGTGGTTTCAGGTGTTGTTTACAGAGGCTGTCACTAGCGTTGGTCCAGTGGTTTCAAGAGATGCTGTTCCCAGAGGCTGTCACTAGCATTGGTCCAGTGGTTTCAGGAGATGTTGTTTACAGAGGCTGTCACTAGCGTTGGTCCAGTGGTTTCAAGAGATGCTGTTCCCAGAGGCTGTCACTAGCGTTGGTCCAGTGGTTTCAGGAGATGTTGTTTACAGAGGCTGTCACTAGCGTTGGTCCAGTGGTTTCAAGAGATGCTGTTCAGAGGCTGTCACTAGCATTGGTCCAGTGGTTTCAGGTGTTGTTTACAGAGGCTGTCACTAGCGTTGGTCCAGTGGTTTCAGGAGATGTTGTTTACAGAGGATGTCACTAGCGTTGGTCCAGTGGTTTCAGGAGATGTTGTTCACAGAGGCTGTCACTAGCGTTGGTCCAGTGGTTTCAGGAGATGTTGTTTACAAAGGCTGTCACTAGCGTTGGTCCAGTGGTTTCAAGAGATGCTGTTCCCAGAGGCTGTCACTAGCATTGGTCCAGTGGTTTCAGTAGATGTTGTTTACAGAGGCTGTCACTAGCATTGGTCCAGTGGTTTCAGGAGATGTTGTTTACAGAGGCTGTCACTAGCATTGGTCCAATGGTTTCAGGAGATGTTGTTCACAGAGGCTGTCACTGGCGTTGGTCCAGTGGTTTCAGGAGATGTTGTTTACAGAGGCTGTCACTAGCATTGGTCCAGTGGTTTCAGGAGATGTTGTTTACAGAGGATGTCACTAGCGTTGGTCCAGTGGTTTCTAGAGATGCTGTTCCCAGAGGCTGTCACTAGCATTGGTCCAGTGGTTTCAGGAGATGTTGTTTACAGAGGCTGTCACAAGCGTTGGTCCAGTGGTTTCAGGAGATGCTGTTCACAGAGGCTGTCACTAGCATTGGTCCAGTGGTTTCAGGTGTTGTTTACAGAGGCTGTCACTAGCGTTGGTCCAGTGGTTTCAAGAGATGCTGTTCCCAGAGGCTGTCACTAGCATTGGTCCAGTGGTTTCAGGAGATGTTGTTTACAGAGGCTGTCACTAGCGTTGGTCCAGTGGTTTCAAGAGATGCTGTTCCCAGAGGCTGTCACTAGCGTTGGTCCAGTGGTTTCAGGAGATGTTGTTTACAGAGGCTGTCACTAGCGTTGGTCCAGTGGTTTCAAGAGATGCTGTTCACAGAGGCTGTCACTAGCATTGGTCCAGTGGTTTCAGGTGTTGTTTACAGAGGCTGTCACTAGCGTTGGTCCAGTGGTTTCAGGAGATGTTGTTTACAGAGGCTGTCACTAGCGTTGGTCCAGTGGTTTCAGGAGATGTTGTTCACAGAGGCTGTCACTAGCGTTGGTCCAGTGGTTTCAGGAGATGTTGTTTACAAAGGCTGTCACTAGCGTTGGTCCAGTGGTTTCAGGAGATGTTGTTTACAGAGGCTGTCACTAGCATTTGTCCAGTGGTTTCAGGAGATGTTGTTTACAGAGGATGTCACTAGCGTTGGTCCAGTGGTTTCAAGAGATGCTGTTCCCAGAGGCTGTCACTAGCATTTGTCCAGTGGTTTCAGGAGATGTTGTTTACAGAGGATGTCACTAGCGTTGGTCCAGTGGTTTCAAGAGATGCTGTTCCCAGAGGCTGTCACTAGCATTGGTCCAGTGGTTTCAGGAGATGTTGTTTACAGAGGCTGTCACTAGCGTTGGTCCAGTGGTTTCAGGAGATGTTGTTTACAGAGGCTGTCACTAGCGTTGGTCCAGTGGTTTCAGGAGATGTTGTTTACAGAGGCTGTCACTAGCGTTGGTCCAGTGGTTTCAAGAGATGCTGTTCCCAGAGGCTGTCACTAGCATTGGTCCAGTGGTTTCAGATGTTGTTTACAGAGGCTGTCACTAGCATTGGTCCAGTGGTTTCAGATGTTGTTTACAGAGGCTGTCACTAGCATTGGTCCAGTGGTTTCAGATGTTGTTTACAGAGGCTGTCACTAGCGTTGGTCCAGTGGTTTCAGGAGATGTTGTTTACAGAGGCTGTCACTAGCATTGGTCCAGTGGTTTCAGGAGATGCTGTTCACAGAGGCTGTAACTAGCGTTGGTCCAGTGGTTTCAGATGTTGTTTACAGAAGCTGTCACTAGCGTTGGTCCAGTGGTTTCAGGAGATGTTGTTTACAGAGGCTGTCACTAGCGTTGGTCCAGTGGTTTCAGGAGATGTTGTTTACAGAGGCTGTCACTAGCGTTGGTCCAGTGGTTTCGGGAGATGTTGTTTACAGAGGCTGTCACTAGCATTGGTCCAGTGGTTTCAGGAGATGTTGTTTACAGACCAGGCCATGATATAAACTCACTTGCTTTTCAGATAGACGAGCTAAACAATTTGAGAGGTTGATAGCCGACACAACGTCTAAAAAACACTATGATATTCTTTATGGTTTTTGCAATGTATATTTTGAAAAGGAACAGGAAACCATGCATCATATGTTGTTATTTTACAGCTATTCGGCCTCCAAATTGTTGGTATGTCTGTGTCAGAGATATCTTGTAAAACTTCTTCTCAAAATATGTGGTCTGCCAATCTTTGTTTGAAGTCCATACAAACAGATCCATGACAAAAGACAGAAGAAAAACATTTACATTTATTGGGCAATGATAAATAGCACATATACAAATTCAAGTTTTCTTTGTTTGATGCAATCCTAGATGAACAATGTCCTGATACTGTTTCAAAAACTTCTTAAGAGGAGTAACCACAACCTCAGAAGGCATACAAGTCATAAAACCATCTAAAATAATAAGTAAAAGGGAAAAGTGCCATGCCTCCTCTGGTATGATGTGTCCATGCAACATATTAACTAAGATGTTGTAGATATTACTTAGTGACTGAAGACTCCGGCATAAACATGTACCAGCAATAGGGGGATCAATAACAATATGGAAAACAAATTATTTTACTTTGTAAGGGGTGAAAAGGTATTGTCAATATGGCTTGCTTGAATAATTATTCTGTGTACAAGCACATAGCTTCACAAGGCAAGAGTAATAGGAGAGGAATAGAAAAAAAGGTTTTCTTGGCACTTAAGTCCTTACAGTGAACATTTGACGTTCACATTACACATATATATCCATTTCACGCGACCTACTCTAACATAAGGTTGATCAGGACCTGTAATTTGTCATTGGTAACTCTTGAATTTATTTTAGAAATTGTCTGAGAAACAGAGTGTAATGTCAATGAAATAACAGGTAAATCTTGTGTCTTGAGACTTGTGCAACAGAGGACATAGATCATTAGTGTCAAGATCATCATCATCATCATCATCATCATCCTTCGAGTCCACAGTGTGGCCATGATGGCCAGTGCAGCCTTTATCTGTTGAGTGATTCCTTTTCACCCAGGTCTCATTGACGTACACAAGTTGAAATTGCAAATAATAACAGACCTTGGCTAGTTTGTTAAGACTCTGAGAGATAACTGAGTCATGGAACACTGCCCTGGTATTAACCAATATAATCCAATTTAAACAAGTATGACGGTGAGTATAATACAAGTCACAATTATTGTGTCCCTCAGCTCTTCCCTAAGTTTTGTACGTTAAGAGGATCTGTTATGTTTACCAGTTTACCATCTGTTTACCACTTTGAAAACTATTTGTAAACATCTATGCAATGCAAGCACTCAACAATTTATACCATATTCATAGCTAATTGATTTCCCTATATCCAACACAAACTGCTGTCTATATATAGAATGAAATTAAATATGCAATATAGGAGAACAAGATCATTACATAGAATGTGTAACAATTGCATTTAAAATTAAATATCATTATACACAAGATATTTGACACTGAAAAATGTCAGAAAATAATCTAGTTTTCATATGTTTACAAGACATATTGTCAGTGGCTATATTAATAAAAGTCGCTTGATTCTCTGACATCTGTTTGGATATAGAAACAATCCTCAAGTAAACTACCCTTTCAAACATATACTTTCTTTTTTTCACAACTAGGTCACTTCTCACTGAACAGCATGGCACTTTCATAATGGCTTGCATTGCCGGCCAAATCAACATTTCCATTAAAATGGAACACACCAAAGTCTTAGCTGGTTTGGAAAACAATATGACATTTTGAACACGCTTCATGTGAAGCATGTTCAATAAGAGATTCTAAAATGAGCTATTACTGATTACTGAACTAAGACTCAGCTGCATCACATGGCTCAGATACTCATCCAACATATTTCTAATTCTTACTTAGACGGCCACACATACACGGCATCTATTGGATGACTTAAAACGGAATTTTTTAACATAATCTATGGCACCAAAGTTGAAGGCCTATCAATTAACAGCCAATTATCATTAAAACAAGGTTACAGCAATCTATGCCATGTGGTTCTTGAGAATAACATGTCTAAGCTTTTTGTGAAATTATATTTCTTACATTAAAACATAAATATCATAATGATTTGAACAAAATGCAATTTCTTTGTAAGGTAATTGGAATGTCAAATGTTATATCCATCAGTCCAGCAGTTCAAGAGGAGATGTGCACAGAGCCAAGAACCTGCCTGCCTGCCTGAGTTGGGTTTAACGCCGCTTTTAACAGTATTCCAGTTATATCAGGGCGTGTCAGCTTAATGTGTGAGGAAAGCCCGAAGTGATGCAGGTCTCAGACGTTTACCACTTCGGTGAAACCCACGAGCACAGGTATGGTGCTGACAAACCTAGAAACATAATTGGGGCGAACCGGGATTAGAACCCACAATCATAGGTTTCTGGCGTGCCTAAGGGACGCAACTCTGCACAGCGAATCGCGAGCCCCCAGAGCCAAGAACACCTTTGGAGAGCATTTAAAAGCAAGTTAAAATTGTAAAGGTGAAATCAAGTCAAAATTCATTTTATTGCAAGTTTGTCTTAAGTACCAGCTAAACACATGCCAAATTGTATTACATTTCATAAGAAGATGTCCAAATGGCCTTTATTGGGTTTTGAATATGGCTGGCATGGCAGACAGTTAGAAAATTTGTGTTGAAAAAATTCAGGTTTTCAGTCATTGGAGTGTGCAAAGTGTCAGCTTCACCAGTTGTACATTGGTCCAGGTGTTTGTAAGGAGTGAATGTTTACAAACGACAACGATGACGTTGTGGGACAAGCAGACCAGGCCACGTGACTCTCAGTCAGGTGAGGTAACACTGACACAAATACTTTACAAAAAAACCCTCACAGAGACCTGGACCTTGACTTCCAATGATCTTTCTTGGTTTGTCACATCACCCCCTGAGCATTTCATGTTCATTATTCATTACACTTGCAGTAAAGATAATTCTCCAAGTTATCTGGTAAACAAACTTTTTTCAGTCAATGTCTGAAAATAGGTACCTGACAAACATTAAACCAATTACAAGTGAGAAGTAGTAAAATATTTTCCCCATGTCTATGGAGGAGATATATATTTATGTCTCAACTTTTAAAACGCAGGGACAGCATGACCTCATCTATCAATCTAAGTTAAGTGTCTAAGAAAGATAAAAAATAAGGTTCTTTTTTTTTTGAAAATTCAGAGATATTTTTTTAGTTTAAAGTCCTTTTCCTCTTTTTGACCTGTGATCAGAAAAAAATAACACACCTTTTCAAAACTGTAACATTAGATACAAACATACTAAGCTGAATTGAGAAAGTCTTAAATGAAAAAGTCCAGAGGTTGAATAACAGCACCTGGGAACAACTTGTTAATCCCAGGACCTGTGTGTGACTACAGACCAGATGCCTCGCTGACTCCTTGTTCACCCAGATATACTGAGAAGGCTGTTCTTTGCTGGCTCCACAGACAAGATATGCAGGTAGATCTTGTTACTGTCTCTGAATACCAGTCTACACCACAGACAAGATATGCAGGTAGATCTTGTTACTGTCTCTGAATACCAGTCTACACCACAGACAAGATATGCAGGTAGATCTTGTTCACTGTCTCCATCTACATCATGGACAAGATACAGGAGTGTCTAAGTGTCTCTGTTTATCAGTTTTCCAATTGATAAGACAACTTTGCACTGCATATGGAATGGTAGACTGTCACATGATTATAATCTGCCATCATCCAAGAACAAAGAACAGTATTATCACAATCACTAAAACAACTGATAAAACTACTATTGCACAGCATTGCCGTCTATCTGAAAAAGACATAATGTTGTATAAGCATACATGACATGGACTAGAGGGTTGAACAATAAGCAACAATATCACATTAACATTCCCACCAATCACTAGATATATTCTCTCTCCTCACCCTTGGTGCTGAAATCTACACATCATTCAGAGCCAAGGTTGAGAAGACAGAAAGTTGCAATATACATGATATATATGAAGTAGCATCCTCCAATGACATAGTGACATAAAAATGGGACGTTGATCTTCTGTTGTACATTCAGGATTACTTACCTAATCCTTGCTGACAGAAATTCAGGAGTATCAAATACCTATCAGTAATATTATAAGCTCATTGTTTAAAGTTGAACCTACTTCACACTACCCATTGGTTTTATCTGATGTTCATGAAGGGATATCCATTGGTTAATTTGCAAACATGTTGTCACCCAGAAACCAAAGTTGTTCATGTATTGTGAGACAGTTGGTCAGGTGGCTGACAAAACAGGGCTCTGTGGTCAGTTGGGGTAATGAGAAGAATCCTCCATCAGACAAAAGCCTGTAGCTGTCAGGTTGAGGGGCTACTTGCATCTGTGTGCTATCTGTGACACTAGCCATATTTTTTATTGTTTTCTTAAAAAAATGTGTAGTGCAAACAGTGACACCATGAAGAAACTTGGATCTTCTCTTGGTCATTACATTCACACAATGTTTAATCCTACTAACAGTCTCTCCCAAAATTACTCAAACCAACCATCAAGGTTGGCTTCCATGGCAACCATATGTGAAAACCTATTTCTTGCCATTGCTGCCCAATGTATGCAGACAAATGATGAACATGCTGGGATCTAAATTATAGTCCTCAAATTTTCCGGCTAATTTTTTTTACATCTTCCCATGGCAAGGGAGTTAACCGACTATAAAAGTCCAGTTTCAATCCTAGCCGAACTAGCCTGGAGTTACTGGGCTTGACTGGAGCCACACCAGTGGCTATTAAGAGTTATGTCCCTTCTATGTACCAATTGACCAATCAGATTTCACCTCTCATATCACTTGCATTTGCTTTAAAAAAATGGCATTGCACAGTTAAGACGATCTGATCGATACCAGGTAAAACAGGTCTTATTTCACGATATGCAGAAAATCATGTGAGCACCTTGATTAAAAACATGTTAGAAATTTGGAAAATATCTGTTGACGCTAAGTTGACGGTTGATGAGCCCAGAAACTCCAGGCTAGTTTGGCACTACCATATTCGAAGTAAAACGCGCCCCGCTCTAATAAGCGCCAACGGCGATATTTGCTAATATATAGTCAGAACTCCTTTATCCATACACATTCAAGATCTTTCGCCGTTCAACGGCTCTTCAGGTGTAATGAAAACTTTAACTTACATTGTAGTCCTAGGCGACGCATAACAGTAGTATTTGTGGCGTCATAATGCCTATGATGTAACAGTGACAATAGAGGGAGAAGTAAAACATAGTCCTAGGCGACACCCAACGTTATGCTTTTGACGTCATAAAGCATATGACGTCATAGCTAGTGATAATAGTGGGAGGCATGAATACATTATGGTGTGAGTGCACAAAATAATACTTTTGAATTAAGTTTAGGTTTCAAAAGCCTAATAAACATCTGTTCTTTTTCCATTCATAAATGTTTGTCATTATTAAACAATTTATAAAACAGAAAGACAGTATAATGACCACTCCCGCATTCATCAATGTGTTTGCTTACATTTATACAACATACATTTGGATCTCGAATTTGTTGTCTGTTTACAGTGATTCGGTCTTTTAGTTGCATACCAGTTTCTCCAATATAATGCTCACCACATCCCGCACATGTTAAAACATATATATAACAACTTTCCTGCCACAGTTCATGTTGATTTTAACAGTAAATAGTTTATCTTGGCAGAATTGAAATTTGCAGTCTTCAACTATTATTGGGAAAGTTCCACATCGAGGTGTGTTACACTTTGTTACACTGACAGTATTTGTACACTGTGAGTATTTGGATGGACAAGGAATTTGTTTAAGATTTTTAGGCTGTCTAGTGCTGCGTATAAGTTTACACTCAGATAAACATGTTTTCATAGTTTTACTTTTATAAGGGGCATAATTTTACAGTTTCTAGGATTCTAGGTACACACAAATGGAAGAATGTCCATGTCTTTATCGGTTTCTTTTGTTTTCATTAATGTTTCTCGTGGAATTTTCATTGCTTTATTTACAGTGTCTTTAATCACTCCACATGGATATCCTTGCAGTTGGAGATATGTCTTTAATTCTCCTAATCTTCGGTTTCTTGTGTCCACATCCCCAACAATAGTACACACTCTTCTTGCCATCCAATATGGAATATTAATTTTAGTGTGCCACGGATGACATGTACATATTATAAATTTGAATATCCAAAGATGAAATGTCTATGGTAAATACTTGAGCTGATATTCAGAAGTAATTGTATTTGTGACCAAAAAGGTCATTGTTACAGGAAGGACATTTTGTTATGGGATGGACAATATTTTTTTCTGGTAAAGACATGTATGGCTTGTTCTTATCTTATTGGTTAAATCTAAATGACTTTCAATTAAATCATTTAAATTGACAATGCATGGTTACCAAAAGGATATAGTTGGAAAAACACACATGCATGTCCTGTTTTACACTGTAACATTTCAAGACATGTTACAGGAAGACATTTTAACCAGTCTTGTGGAAATATCTGTCTGAATGCAGCTATTTTGACAAAAAATTACACATCTATCCAAAATGATAATTTGATATTTTCCAAGAACGTTTTTACTAAACAAATAAACAACACCAACCATCCAAGGGCTGTTATGTGATGGCCACTTTTCTAGTAGAGTAGTGACTTTTATCTACTCAAATCTTCTTTGACTGTTGTGGGAAGGACATTTTTTTAAATAAAATCAATTTTCTGCTGAAGCTCCATCAAAGAAAATTGCTCACAGTTCAATCATCAGTGTACCATTGCATACTTACTTTCAAAGTGTTAAAAGAAAATAAGAATCATTTACTAAGTGACAAATATATTATCACTCACTGGCAACCTCGGTCAGATCTGAAATATTGACTGTATTTGTTGAGATAAATATTTTACTTCTTCTCTAAATACCAGGACATAATATAGCACTGTAGTTACACTGGCTTTGGCCCTTGGGGACTTATCTGACTCATTTGTCAAAAGTTTGGAGATTGGGGTTTCTCATGAGTAATAGCCAAACAGAAGCTCCAGTAAAATCTAAATATTTTCTACATTGGGATACTTATCCTGCATTACTACATAAATGCTTTTACTGCTGTAGTTTTACTAGAAAGACTGAGCTGTGTTAGGTCCAGGCTGCAGAAGTTGGATCAACCAGTTGATGAGATTGTGCATCATTCAGAAGTTGGATGAATCCTTTTTTGGTCACCACGAGCACCGGAGAGTAGAAGCCTGGATGCGCAACGGACTCAGGAACAACCTTGACCGCCTGCTTTGGCACCAGAAGATTAAATGGCCTGGAGCAAGAGCTGAGCCTCACGAGGAGGGTGGGTGTCCACCAGACAGTAGGAGGTTAATGGTGGATCTGCTATGAGAGAGAGCTGATACCCCTGACGAAAGACGATGGACGAAAGGATCCCGAAGAATGGTCCAATTGCCCGAAAACCTGCATAATCTCCCACCTACGGGAGTGTCTATGACAAGGACAACTAGGGATTGGAGATCCCAGGTGCCAAGAGCCGGGGTTTCAACGCGTGCCTCTGGACTTGTGTTGGTGACAATGAGGTAGATAATTTCCTTGTGGCTCAGAATGGTTTTGACCCTTGCTATGAAAGGAAGAAGCCTGGGGGAAGCTTGGCGAGAGGCACGCCATGGCTGATAACTGCCCATGTTAGACGGCTTGAATGGAATTGATTGGAGACGCGCTCCAGGACTATGAGCGCCGTTTCATCATGGGCAAAGCTGGAGACATGCACTTGAGTTTCAGAGATAGCACAACTGAAGAACGAGGACGCGCTCCAAGGCAAAGGAGTTGCCTCTTGAACTTGAATACCAGTCTGTTAAGGCAAGATAACCGAGGCGCCTGGTGGTGGTGATCTCCGCCAAGGCCACCCGGATGATTTTGCAGATGGTCGATTTGGCACTTTGGGAAAGACATCATAGTACCCAAGGGATCCAATTGGGATTGTCCTCAGTAAGGTCTTCATCAATGGTTCTGGCAAAGACAGACAAAGGCGTGAGAGACCGCCGAATCTTAATCCCGACAAAGGCGAGCCAAGTGTCAAGCATAAGAATAGTGGTCAGCCTAGAGGAACCAGTCATACGATGTCAGTCATCATTGAAAGTGCATATTATCAGTGGCTTCGAACATATGTATGGGGAAATCCAGTTTCCGGTAATGAGGTTCCTTAAATGCCGGAATGAGGGAGAGTTTCGAGAAGTCGTCATCCAAAGCCAATATCAAATCTGTGAGCAGCGGGATGGTGGAAGGAGACCAAATTGTGTCCTTCTTATAAATATCTGGGCCTGGGGAGGAAGCGACCAAAGCAAACCAGTCAGCCATCCAATCCGGTACTTGGTTAAGCCCCAGGTGAGTGTCCAGCTCCGAGGAGGTTGTGTCAAAGGAGAGACCGACAGAGCTCTCTGAAGAGTCCGATGGATAGTTGGTACCGGTGTCTGAATCGAGAAGACCTGGAAGTGCGACAAGAAGACCTGGGGTAGTTAGAGCCACATGTATGAGTTTGATGAGCAGGAGTGGTGTCCTTGAAAGGAGCCAAAGACGGACATGAGGTAGTCATAGATAATGGCAAAAAGGACGTATTGATATGCTGTACAACAGCACGGGGGCGGGAGCGTTGGGCACTTGCAACATGCTGATCAATGGTTGAAAGCCTGAAGGCTCTGAGGGTGCTGGAATGGGAACAGTGAAAAACGGGGGCGCCGAAGGTGCCGCCTGAGCCACTGATACCGGGAACATGAATTGCATCAAGTCAACTCAGATGGTGACGTTGACGAGAAGGTGACTGTGGGTGTGGACACAACGGCCATCTGGGGATGTCTGTGGGCACGTTGGGTGTGGCATTTTCTCAAGAGCCTAAGGTATTTAGTGAAGTCAATGATTGCACCGCAACGATGTGGAACAGGGGTCCGTGCAATTCTTGGGAGGTGAGGATCCCAAGATGATTCACTGCCACAACAGAGACAGCAATGCAGCATATAACAATAAAGAGAAGCAGGCATGTATAACTCAAACTTTCAAAAGTTTACGGGAGAAAATTATGATAGAAAAAGACCAGAATATAAGTGTTAATGTGCTAAGATACACATATGAAATATCAAAGTCAAGACATGAAGACATTACGTGGGTAAAACAAAATGGAGGATAGAGCAACACATGCATGAAGTGTGGCAAAAATGCTAATGTAAACCTGAAAGGACAACAATTGTACACCAGACTATAATATATATAATTGAGAACATTTGGGTCCTCAAAAGGATAGGCAAAGGATGCTATCTGCTTGTGGAAACTGGGAACTTTATTCTCAAACGTCTGTACAGTCCGATAACTAGCAGTAATGTGATTATACGTGACTTTGCCACTTCCGGTCACGTGGTAGCTGTGAGAGGGAATATGCCACACAACTGGTTGGGACAACAACTTCTGCAGCCAGGACCTCTCACAGCTCCATCTTTCTAGTAAAACAACAGCAGTAAAAGGATTAATGCTTTAATGCAGGATAAGGTAAAAAATTCAAAACTTCAGAAAGAAGGAAAGTAGAAACAGGTCACTGCTTATTCAATAGTTGGACCAAACAATAAACGAGATAAACTGATTCTACTCTCTGTTTACTACATCACAAATTACACATCAGTGCAAGTATACATGGCTACTCAGCAATGGACTAAAGTGTCCTCAAAATGTTGGAAGGATATCTTACCATTAGACATGTGTAAAACTTTGGCCATTTTCTTCATGGTAACATCTAATCTTGATTCAGTATTGTCCATTTCATGCCGAAAGTCATCAAGCATCCTGTAAAATAAATATTTCTAATGCATGTTGCAACTGTAACTACTGTAGCTAATATTGTTTGATGCTGAACAACATAGCTGGTGTCTGACCAGAATGAGTCAAGAGTTGGCCAGAAAACTAAAATCAATCCTGAATCTAAACAAAAGGACTACACTACAACTGATTGGGACTAAAACACCACAACTGTACAACTGTGTCAACAAAGACAGAATGAATTAACAATGGCTAAAGGTCAAGTACATAAAAGTTCCCTTGAATTTTAATTCCCTTTTGTTGTAATGAAATGTCTCATTATCAAATATTTGGAACTGATTAGGCCTCATGCCTCCCATGAACAAATAATGGGAGACATGCGGCATAACTCTGTAAGTTATACAGTCCAGCACATGTCCTGACTTGACAGATGGTTGTCATTTATTCATGCCTATGTCATACCGAAGCCACATTTCATTTTTATACTTGACACATAAGTAAACCGGTGAGTAATGTTTTAGGCAAACATGGGTTGCCAGCCGGCAGAGAGTTTACTATATATGATGTAAAGGTGTGGCATGTGTATTCAAATTCAAACAGAAATTCAAGATAGATTCAAACACAAGATAAATTGTAAATATTTCGGAACAAGCCCACTAAACAGCTGTGCTGAGAGTAAGTAATGACCAAACTACTTTGTCACACCTTCATTTTTGGCAACTTAAATCAAATAATGGTCAAAAAGCAAGTGAAGTTTCAGCCTCATTGGTCCAGTGGTTTCTTTGGAAATGTTTATGATTTCTGGTTTTTCCAATATGGCCATTGGCAGACACATGTCTTTTTTTAAAAATTGCGATGCCTTTAACTGATGACCATCTCTCACCAACTTTTTTTAATCCCTATTAAAGTTCTGGAGAAAATGTCTTGTGAACAAAGTACTTTCATCTTTCCTTCATGTCCTTCATGTCCTTCCTGAGCTCCTCCCGCAAATACTTTCAGAGTTGTTTTTTGTTTTTTAAATTGTCAACACTGTTGCCTTTTTCTCTGAAATGTCTTGATGCATTCACAAAACGTTTTTGTGAATATCAGGGGTTTGAATTTAATATGGCTGCCAGTTGCCATCTTTTATGTAAGCAAAATGTTACTGAGGTACATAAAAGAGGCAGGATGTCGAACGTTCCCAAGCTATGTTTGTTAACAACAGCCGATAACCCCTGAGCTTACTCTGCTCTGTTCTGCTCTGCTCTCATTGGCTTATCGTGGGACACGACTTTTCTCTTGTTTGTAAACAAACACACTTATTCTGAAATTAGAACAGATGGGCCTAATGCAAGCATTTCGGTGCACTTTACATATTGTTTAGCATGATAAAAAAGATATACTACCATGACTACTGCAACTGTGACTGAGGTGCATGACAATATGGCTTGACACATCAAAGTGACTGTATTGCTAGCTATGAAGGGCAACAACGACAGCACTTAGAGGATAAATACACAAGTGAAAACAGTTTACACGTTTTGGGCTATTTTCTAAAATGAGCCAATGAAAACCACATGACTTGACTGTATAACATGTTACGATGTGACAGAGGTACTAGGCTGGCCGCAAGGAACTCTGGGTAGGAGCGTGATTGGCTTCATATGACTGAGGCATATTGATATTGTAATCTAGGCTTACTAGCTTCTAATCATATCAAGCTGGCTATAAGTATTTTGTAACTCATCCATAAGAAATACACAGAAATTGTTTTGGTTTGAGAACTGAATTGCGCATGGGACATCACACTTGGAAATTATTTCAAGCATGATATACAAACACAGAACTGTTGACGCATTGTCCCTTCAATGGTGACTGTTAGGTATGGTGACTGTTAGGTATGGGATACCCAGAGACACGCATGCAGGGGTCACATGACAGCAGTCAAGATACCTGCATCAAGGTTCCTGTAATTGATTTGTCAAGTTCCCTCTGGGAGGCATGGGCATTAGAGGTTTTAGTACTATTAAAGTTACATGATAAAGATGACATCTGCCAAGTAATGAAGTGTACGTAAAGTCCGGTAGGCAGTGATGTAATTCTGTATCCTGTGCTCTATGTGCTGTGAGGCTTACCTGGGCTCAGTGTTACTTACAAATTCTGATCTTCTAGCTCTGATCCAATCTGCTGGCTCATGTTCTTGAGAATGCCAACACTGGAACCTATCTTGTCCAGCTGTTCATCCTGTGACCTCATAAGCAACTGAAAAAAGGGTACTCAATAATACATGTTCTGAAGACATATTTTGGCTGTACCTTACAGAGCACGCCCAGATTGTTTTGAAGTAGTAAACTCTAAATATTTTGTAAATATTTCTGCCTTCCTCAACAAGGCCATAGTGTCCCAGTGCACTCCCAACTAACACTTTGGTATTGTTCATATTTTTTAACTTATCCTGCATTACTCCTTAATGCATTTACTGCTGTTTTCTGACAGAGAGACGAACCGCGTGAGATCCAGGTGCTGAAGAAAAGTTGTTCCAACCAGTAGAGGCAGCACCCTTGCACAGTCCCCACGTGACCCGGAAGTCATGTCATCACATCAAAACACATAACTGCATTGAACACAACATCTGAAACTTCATGGGGAGGCAGCGTAGCGACGGGAGGGCAATTAGACATCATAATGCAGGATAAGTATAAAAATGTAAAAAATATTTAGATTTTACAAAAAAATTCAACTTATCCTGCATTACTCCTAAATGTATCTTTATCAGACGGCACGGCCGGTGGGGATACCTTCAGATTTGATCCATAATAAACCCTCGTCAATGTCCGATGAACCCGCACCACATACCACCACAAACCCGAATAGGTGAAAGAAATAGAATGAGGTGGCTAGCAAAAATCAAGAACTGACCTAAGAGCGAATGCTGCCTCAGTACAGCCCTCTCAACAGGCCCCGCTCGGGGTATCGGAGAATCATCGGTGTCGTGGATTGGTGACCTGTTGTCTACCACCAGGGGACCAAAACCTTGGACATCCGCCACATCATCCAAGCTACATCACTGTGGTTGTGGCTGGCAAAGACGGTGTCAGACCGCCTAAAACAGCCTTCCATGATTGATTTGATGGAGCAGTTGCTATGAATGGCTCTGATCTTGTGAGTGTTGGTAGCCTTGGGGAGGGGGCCGGGGAGGGGGCCGGGGAGGGGGCTGGGGATACTAATCCGGAGGCTTTTAAATCTTGTAGGATGACAGCCCGGAGCCATAGGGAAAGAGTATTCCGACTGACTGCGACCAGGAGAGACAGGCAGGAAAAGGCATTTCCTAGACTTGCAGCAGGCTACTGACCATCATAGGAAAACCCTCAATGCCCACACCGGGTATAACCAAAACTCTGCTCCGACCGCCTCTGCCTAGACAAAAGTGGGGAGGGGTTGGTGCACCGGTGAGATGTAGGATGCTCGCTGGCAGTTCTGGGATGTGGCGAACAGATTGACGTTAGGGGAGATGATCTTTTGGCAAGTCAAGGTGAACACGTCTGAGTGCAGCTACCACCTGAGCAAGACCATGTCTGGCCTGGACAGAGCGTGTGCCAGAACATGCTCTCAACCTGGTAAGAGATGAACGAGAAATTGCAGGTCCAGGCTGACCACCAAGTCAAATAAGCGGAAGGTCTGGTTTAGCAGGGATGAAGCATGGAGAGTACCCTGGTTCCTCAAACACCATATCATGGTAATGTTGTCCATGGATATGATCAACTTGGGAGTGATCTAGAATGCTCTGCCAGTAAGTGACAACCAGGATAAGCGCTTTTAAGCTTAAGGTTGTTGCTGTGACAATGGAGTTGATCTCCGGACCACAGCCGGTCACAACATGGGCTGGCATGAGCAATCCCAGAAGCACTAGCCACTGACAAAGTGGAAAAGCGGAAAGCCATGGTAGAAGAGGTCATCTACAAGACTGCAAAGTTGAAAAGTCAACAACTGGGGTCTCCGATTGTGTCATATCCGGAAGATACGTGGAAAAGTGTGTTTGCCTGCGAACAAATACCAAACCTATGTAGACGAAAGAAACCTGCTCCTAAAACGACCAGTTAGTCGGAAGTCAAAGCTATATCCATAAGATAAGGTGGATATCAAGAAAACTGTGGTTCTGAAAGATAGCACCGTACAACGAAAGGTGACCAATATCATCCCCTAGGTGTTACATAAGCACTCCCGTTCTTATAACGAGGTGACGACGAAGGGAGCAGAGAGTCACGGAACAGTCGTGGGAAGAATCATAAAATCGACCCTGTATCTGAATAGATATAAGTCTTATATCGAGTGACGATGAAGGAAGGCAACACGATACTCGTCATGTAGTCGACAGGGGTCGATGGAACGTCATGGGAAGAATTAAAAATAAAAGATTTGTAGCCTGAAAGATCATACCATACAAAGTAAGGCGATCTTTTCCATACCCTGAACGTCATAGCGAGGGGGCAATGAAATGTGGTGTCTCCATTTTGCCGTGTTGGCTGCGGAGGTCTGCCCTTTCAATCCTCTACACATGGATGGATTAGGACAGGCGTCTGGTTGAGTGATGGCACCATGCGTACAAGTAGACATGCAAACCAATCTGTAGAAATAATTGCACTGCTCCCAATAGGTCAGTTGACCTCATTCCAGTCGAATATGTCTACAATCAGAGTACTCGACACATGACATGTAAATCACCCTGCGCAGTAGAAACCTGCATTGTAGTTGGAAATGAGGTGCAATCTCCACACACAGACAATCCCCAATGAACTGTGTGGTAGACAAACAAGTGGGAGCAGGGGGAGCACCGTGGAATAACCTGGAGAGCCTCATTGCGCTAGGGCAGGGTAGATGAACACGAAAGTATGTGGCCATGTTGTTTATCACCAAAATGGCGGGAAAAAGACAAATGGCAGGAACAACAATACGCCCGTAAATTGTGACTAGAGCCACAAACAGGCAATAAACATTATAAAACAAGAAAGAAGTGAGCAAAGCTCACATACCCCCGTTATCCCCGCTGGTCAACAACAAATAGTAAATAGTTCGTTAATTAATGAAATATTACATATTTCTAGCTGATTTTAACTCTAACGTTTCAAAAACTAAGATTGAATTCCAGTGACAATTGACCCCTCCCAAATCTCCTATGTTACCACTGTTCACTACGAGGAAGTAGATCACCATGTACACCTTTGAATAAAAATTTGATTGAGGAGTTACAAAAGAAGAATTATCAAAAGGACCAAAAATTGTTGATATAAAAACACATAAAAAATGGAACAATATCATATGAGAAAATAAAAAAATTAATAATTTCCATCTAGCCTTAACAGATATGGTAAAGAATTCATAAATTCAAACTCACACAAAGTACAGATACTTATGACAATTTTGGAAAATATATTAGCTATACAAAACCAGCCATCAAAATTTCTAAATTCCATCATGTTTCCAGGAAAACAGCAAAAGAGAAAACTTTCAGAATCTTATAACAGATAAAAAACAATCATAGTGGTTAATGAAGCAAGTTTGCTGAAGCTAGGATACATAATAATGTAAACATGGATCATACACAAACTCTACCCAAAATTTATGTTTCACCATGATTCCATGAAAAACAGCAAAAATAAAAAAATTCAGAATCTTCAAACTAGCAAAAGGCACAAGTTCTCATTGTGGTAAATGTGTTTAGCAAGCTTGATGAAGCTAGGATGCATAGTTAAAAAGATATGGGCCGTACAAAACACCCACCCTAAAAGTTTAAGTTTCTTAATGTGTCCATGGAAACAGCAAAAATGAAAAAATTCAGAATCTTCAAACTAGCAAAAGGCACAAGAACTCATTGTGGTAAATGTGTGTAGCAAGTTTTGTGAAGCTAGGGTGCATAGTTAAAAGATATACGCCGTACAAAACACCCACGCTAAAAGTTTAAGTTTCTAAATGTTTCCATGGAAACGGCAAAAATTAAAAAGTTCAGAATCCTCAAACTAGCAAAAGACACAAGTTCTCATTGTGGTAAATGTGTGTAGCAAGTTTGGTGAAGCTAGGGTGCATGGTTAAAAAGTTATTGGCCGTACAATAGCTCGGACGGAAGGACGGATGAATGGAACGCTATATACCCCCGATTTACTTCGTAAACAGGGGTATAATTACAAATGGGAAGACCCCAAAGGTAACAGACCATGAACAGGTAACAGTATAGCAGCATACGATGAATGCAGAAACATGCAATGTATAGAAACAATAAGCTTTAATTTCCACAAGGGATACAAAGTACGTCCGTCCGTGGAGGTGCCAACTATGCAAGGGTGCTGCCACTACTGGTTGGAACAACTTTTCTTCAGCACCTGGATCTCACTCGGTTCGTCTCTCTGTCAGAAAACAGCAGTAAATGCATTAAGGAGTAATGCAGGACAAGTTAAAAAATATGAACAATACCAAAGTGTTAGTTGAGAGTGCACTGGGACACTATGGCCTTGTTGAGGAAGGCAGAAATATTTAGCGGGGATCAGAGGCCAAGTTAGTTAAACTGCTTGAGAAGATAGATGGTGATTTAGTCATCAGTTGTTGGCTTAACACAGTCACACAGTATAGTCCAGTTTCTATGCCGACCTCTTCTGGTCATGTCTGAAATCTTCATCGGTGGAGGTACAAATATCTTAAACTTGACTTCTGTCTACAGTTGTCTGCAAACCCGCATAGCTTGCTTGAGAAATACCTACTCATGTTTTATTAAAAGTATTGAAATACTAATAAATACATTCATAAATTTTGCTCTAGATTTAGTAACTTAATTATCATGAAAATTATAATAAAAAATAATTGTATGTCCTAATAACACAACATGTAAATATATGATCATCATCTATATCGGGAGCTTTTTGTAAAATCCTAAATATATCCTTTTCAAAACACAGAAAGACGTTGGATTTCAAGAATGCATGGACGGATGGGTAATAAGAATGATAAATAATATTTCCAGAAAGCAGTTGTTTAATATATATTCACTGGATATTCAATATATTGATAATTATTTTTAAAAAGTGTGATATTAACGTTTGCTATTTTGGGATATTTTACACAAATTTCAAATGTTTCATCCTGTGCATTTGCTTGTTTGATGAATACTTGTATTTAGTTCTTTTAAATTCAGATATTTAAACCGCTCGTCCCTGTCCTACTGGACTTTGCACTTTAGCATGTATTTATTTGTAGATTAATTTAGTGATCAACTAAAGGTGAGGTGAAATTGGGTTTAACGTCGCGTCCAAGATTATTGCAGTTATATAGCGACGTGCATGCACGTGTGTGAGTGTGTGTGTGTGGCTGCTTGTACTAGACCGGACTGATGCCAATTCATAGTGCTAGCCCACTGAGATACCATGCCGCATTTTAAAATGAATACCCCACTCAGACACAGTATACGGACTCCGAGCTGACCAGTCCTTGCTTTTACCCCATAATGCCGAGCGCCAGACAGGGTAACAACAAGTACCATCTTTTAACGTCTTTTGGTATGACCCGGGCAGGGATTGAACCACAGACCTTCCGCTCTCCGGGCGGACGCTCTACCACTAGACCACGGAGGCGGTCGGTCAACTAAAGACAAAATAACTGACACGAAGGTGACCCAAAAGATATAGAGCGGGAGCTCAGGGATTCTACAACATTTATACACTGGGTAAGGTAGATTCTACTCTACAGGCTTATACAAAGGGATACCACTCCTATCTAGAGCATAAACTAATATAAGCTGCCCTTGAGTTATCCAAAAAGGTCACAGACGTTACTAGTCGCTTGCAGCCAACTTTTGTTTTTATCCTTCCCTTGATAAGCAAAAAGGTATAGGTTTCACACTTCCTTCAGCATAAAGTGGGGTGGGAAAGCACTTTTAGCTATCGACTCGATAGTTTTGTGGTTCACTATCACAATTACCAATATTTCTGATGTTAAATCTGTGGTGCATTGTTCGTGTTGTTGAAGTGTCGATTTGAATCATAAAGTTTAACAAAATAAAGGGGCAATGTTTGAATGTAAAGCAGATTATTTATGTGAAATTTTGTCAAGTATATTCAGGGACTACAGCTACTTAAGATTGGTCCGGATCAATTGTAAATTTCGATTGTATAATTCGATTTGAATAATAGATAAAATTAAACATCAATAGTATAAGGAATATACATACAATAGTATGTAAACACTTCACAAACTTATCTAGGAACTTGGAAACGTTGTGTTCCTCATTATAAAGAAGTGAAGACACTGTAGAACAACCCATGGGGCCTGCAACGGGTGGTTACCCGAACCTGTCTTGTTTCTTTGTGTTGCATGTCAAACCCAAACAACAAGTTGTACTAAAAACTGCAGAAAGATTGCAAAATGCTAGTTTCAATAGTGACAAGAGTTTGGGTGGTGGAGTGATTTGTCTATGTGTGGGTGAATAACAGCAATTATTTACACCTGAAACACAAATTTATTTGGAATGATTTGAGGACCAAATACTTGTCCTAAGAGCAGACTAATAACCAGGTGGTTGAGGGTGTGTAAGTGACCTTAGTGTATAAGTGACCTTGGTGTACAAGTGACGCCAGTGTACAAATGATCCCTGTGTGTAAGTGACCTTGGTGTACAAGTGACGCCAGTGTACAAATGATCCCTGTGTGTAAGTGACCTTGGTGTATAAGTGACCTTGGTGTGCAAGTGATGCCAGTGTACAAATGATCCCTGTGTGTAAGTGACCCGGGTGTACAAGTGACCTTGGTGTACAAATGATCCCTGTGTGTAAGTGACCCAGGTGTACAAGTGACCTTGGTGTACAAATGATCCCTGTGTGTAAGTGACCTTTGTGTACAAGGGATGCCAGTGTACAAATGATCCCTGTGTGTAAGTGACCTTGGTGTATAAGTGACCTTGGTGTGCAAGTGATGCCAGTGTACAAATGATCCCTGTGTGTAAGTGACCCGGGTGTGTAAGTGACCTGGGTATATAAATGACCCGGGTGTATAAGTGACCTTGGTGTATAAGTGACCTTGGTGTACAAGTGATGCCAGTGTACAAATGATCCCTGTGTGTAAGTGACCCCGGTGTGTAAGTGACCTTGGTGTACAAGTGACGCCAGTGTACAAATGATCCCTGTGTGTAAGTGACCCCGGTGTGTAAGTGAAGCTGGTGTGTAAGTGACCCTGGTGTATAAGTGACCCCAGTGTGTAAGTGACCTGGGTGTAAAAGTGACCTTGGTGTTCAAGTGACGCCAGTGTACAAATGATCCCCGTGTGTAAGTGACCCCGGTGTGTAAGTGAAGCTGGTGTGTAAGTGAAGCTGGTGTGTAAGTGACCCCAGTGTGTAAGTGACCTGGGTGTATAAGTGACCTTGGTGTACAAGTGACGCCAGTGTACAAATGATCCCTGTGTGTAAGTGACCCTGGTGTGTAAGTGAAGCTGGTGTGTAAGTGACCCGGGTGTATAAGTGACCCCAGTGTGTAAGTGACCTGGGTGTATAAGTGACCTTGGTGTACAAGTGAGGCCAGTGTACAAATTATCCCTGTGTGTAAGTGACCCCGGTGTGTAAGTGACCCTGGTGTGTATGTGACCCTGGTGTAAAAGTGACCCGGGTGTATAAGGGACGCCAGTGTATAAATGATCCCTGTGTGTAAGTGACTCGGGTGTGTAAGTGACCCTGGTGTGTAAGTGACCCTGGAACATAAGTGACCCTGGTGTGTAAGTGACCCTGGTGTGTAAGTGACCCTGGTATATAAGTGACCCTGGTGTGTAAGTGACCCTGGTGTGTAAGTGACCCTGGTATATAAGTGACCCTGGTGAGTAAGTGACCCTGGTACATAAGTGACCCTGGTGTGTAAGTGACCCTGGTGTGTAAGTGACCCTGGTATATAAGTGACCCTGGTGTGTAAGTGACCCTGGTATATAAGTGACCCTGGTGTGTAAGTGACCCTGGTGTATAAGTGACCCTGGTGTTTAAGTGACCCGGGTGTATAAGTGACCCCGGTGTGTATTTGACCTTGGTGTACAAGTGATGCCAGTGTACAAATGATCCCTGTGTGTAAGTGACCCGGGTGTATAAGTGACCCCGGTGTATAAGTGTTTCTGTCGGTACACACACAGAGGTTGTGTTGCAGTCGGTACACACACACACAGGTAGTGTTGCTGTCGGTACACACAAACAGGTAGTGTTGCAGTCGGTACACACACACAGGTAGTGTTGCAGTCGGTACACACACAAAGGTAGTGTTGCTGTCGGTACACACAAACAGGTAGTGTTGCAGCTGGTACACACACACAGGTAGTGTTGCAGTCGGTACACACACACAGGTAGTGTTGCAGTCGGTACACACACAAAGGTAGTGTTGCAGTCGGTACAAATTCACAGGTAGTGTTGCAGTGGGTACACACACAAACACACACAGGTAGTGTTGCAGTCGGTACACACACACACACACACACACACACAGAGGTAGTGTTGCCGTCGGCACACACACACACACACACACACACACACACACACACACACACACACACACACACACACACACACACACACACACACACACACACACAGAGGTAGTGTTGCAGTGGGTACACACACACACAGGTTGTGTTGCAGTCAGAATACACACATAGGTAGTTGAAGCTAACTTACCTGCTGTTGCTGACTTGTATCATCAATGTAGTTCTGATTTGACCGTTCCATGTCTTGGTCAAGGCGAGTGTATCGGTCAACATTCCCACCATTGGCCGAAAGAAGAGACTACAAATATGTAGATGTACAGATCATGCAACATGTCTTATATCCTGAATATACACATAATGTCTTCAGATGACAGTAAAACAAAACATTGCTGAAGCGGTAGTGAGAGAGTTGGGTTTAACATCGCTTTTAACAGTATTCGAGTTACATCACAGTGTGTCTAAAGCCGTACGCGGTCTTTTTGTTGTCGTAAGGTAAGCAGTGAATGCATTAAGGAGCAATGCAGGATAAGTAAAAAATATGGACATATGTGCACATATGTTGTTGTACATGAACATAAGCCTGTAGAATATTGTTCCTGTGCATCACTATCCCGGAAATGATAAATAAACAAAACACCTACCAACATAACATCATTACAGGCTTACTTTACTGTAAAGAAGAATCATGTGAGCCTGTACAAAGACCCAGCCATACTCTCGAATTGACAATGTCAAGGTGAACACAGAAGACCATGAAGCATGGCACTGCAGCTGTAGCTGTAGCTGTAGCTGTACTGTGTGCTATGTGCTGTGTGCTGTGTGCTGCTATACTATCTACCTGTCTGGGATTTCCCTCACGAGCTTTGTGCGACCCTGGGCTGGACAACTCATCCTTCATATCCTAGAACACAAAACACAAACCTTGTCATGATGGCTTGACAAGCTAACATTAACTTCCTTACCTGCTTACTGAATCATAGTAACCCAACGGTTAAAGTGATAAATATTGTGACAACATGGTCAAACAGTTTGCTTGCAGAGTGATAAATCCAAGATGGCATCACTGACAGTACCAGTTATTGGAACATATTTCACAGAGGAAGCATCAGAAGATAGATATGTTGGTTTTGACTGCACGATGATGGATGAGACAATGAGAAGACACTGATGGTCTCAGCGTTATCTATTTGTGAGTATGCAACACCTCTGGTCCACTGATGATGGGGATAGTCAGGTGGATGTCAGAATAGAATTAAAATAACTTATGTCTTCTTTCTAACATAGTTTAAAAACAAACAAATATTGTTTCTAGCTACATGTTAACCTTTCAGTTGTGTTTCAGTGTTCCCATTAACCGGTAGTTAACAGTTTTTTACCAGTAAAATTAGGCTTGGACCGGTATATTCATGTGACTGACAGTCCCTGTAAAACGGCAAATAAAGTACCTTATAAATCTTTGTTGCTGAACAAAATATCGGTGATATTCATAAAAGTATATTTTTCAAACAAAGTCAGCTTGTCTGTTACAATCAGGGTGTCCCCTTGAAATAACATTTTGCTTTGCATCGAGGTTAAATATATATATATATAGCGTTTCAGTCTCAAGATATTAAAAAAAAGAAGGAGAAAGTGTGACTGAACTCTGTGTGAATGACGTAGTTACTCCAGAGATAACGACATTGCATTGAACATGATAATGAAAGAATTATTACCAGGTAAATTTTTTACGTTTTTTTTATATGCTGAACATGTAAAAAGTTGGGACCGACAATAATTAGGAGGAACTGGTAATTTTTAGAGTTGCCAGTCCTTGCAGGACTGGCAGTTTCAAAAGCTAGCAAGAACACTGTGTTTGCTTACTTAAGTCTCTAAGACTGTTACTATGAATCACAACAGGCCAAGACAGCATTTTGAATCTCCCTTGCAGATTTGTTCAGCTTTGCACTAAAACTTGTCGCCCTTTGACAACATCAGGAAGGAGGTCCTACAATTTGACTGTGGTACTTAACAAGTTTGTGTATTAATTGCCAAGCACAGTCTCTGTGGCCGATGTAGTTTTTGTATAGATTTGTTTTTGTTTCTTTCCATGTTTTTTTATATATATATTTATGATATACAATTAGTTGTTAGTTTCCTTCTGAGTAACCTACTAATTGCCCCATGCCCAGAAGATCTTTCTGCTGATTGGCCTAGCTTACACCTGAGATTACCTGTAGGGTCCATAAGAAACATACTTATCTGCCCTTGATTCGCCTGCACTAAGCAACAGTTTTCAAGGGGATTATAACTTCCAGCATGTACACAATCCAGTCGCTTGTAACAATTGCCTATTGTCACTGTTAGAATAGCACAGAAAAGGGTCAAGCATTGATATCGCTCACCAAGGTTTCTACATGCCATCTTCTACTCTTGAATATTAATCTTGTTGTACAAATACTGTCTTTTAACTAATGTAGAGAAATACGGGTTCATAATGTCAAACAAAACATGTGTTTCAATGTTGCCAAAACCGTTTATCATATGCTATCTTGCCATCAAGCACTGAACTAAAACAACTATAGACAAATGCATCTCCCTGATTGTGTTAATGTAGCTCTATAATCCTACATCCTACTACATTCTTCACCACAATATTTGTAACAAATTTATTATTTACAATGGATTAGATCAGTTAAGAAAACTAAATATTGCACTAAACATCCTGATGATGATGATAAAAAGGGTTTTCATAATAATATTTAAAATGACATAGAAGTGATATTTTATAATTTAAGTTGGCATTGGCATCTGTGAATGGCTGGCTTCTTTCTTGCAGGTTTTTTTTTTCCAGTGATGGATGTTGGTATGGAGAATTTTGGTTTGTTGCCAGCAAATATCTTAGAAGGATAGACATGATATTGTTACTTTTGTACATTGATCCAACCTTTTGTAAACATAAGAACATGTATATAAATATTAATTCCATACAGGTCATCTAACGAAGGGACACTGAAAAGTCGATGTACAGTATAAAGTGCTTGTTATTCATAAACAAGTGTCACATATTCATCATCTGTCATGTTTTGTTTTGACTCCAAGCTCAGGAAGTGGAGAGTTGTCTGGGGAGACAACTCTGTTGATGTTTCCTTAGGGGTTTCTAAGCGACCCTATGGTTAAACTGCATGCTTTGATCATCCTGAATAAGCTCTCAGCACATGCAATTTGTCTGGGAACTCCAAAAACTAAAAAGTATGAAAAAACCCAGCCTTTTTGTTGTGACAGGAATATAATCTACTTCGAAGCTTTGCATTAGACTTCTTCCTAGGGTTAGCTTGTTCTGTATGAGGGTAATGAATGTGGCAACAGTGAGTGAGTGAGTGAGTGAGTGAGTGAGTGAGTGAGTATGGTTTGACGCCGCTTTTAGCAATATTCCAGCAATTTCACGGCTGGAGACACCAGAAATAGGCTTCACAACATCGAAGCTGGGTCTTATGCTCGAACGAGCGAACACTTTGACCACTAGGCTACCCAACCACCCTGTGACATCAGTGGATTGACCATGCATTAGACTTCTTCCTAGGGTTACCTTGTTCTGTATGAGGGTAATGAATGTGGCACCAGTGCATGGACCTTGTTCTCTATCAGGGTAATGAATGTGGCCCCAGCGGATGGACCATGCTCTGTATGAGGGTAATGAATGTGGCCCCAGCGGATGGACCTTGTTCTGTATGAGGGTAATGAATGTGGCACCAGTGGATGGACCTCGTTCTGTATGAGGGTAATGAATGTGGCACCAGTGGATGGGCCTTGCTCTGTATGAGGCTAATGAATGTGGCACCAGTGGATGAGGCTTCCTCTTTATCTGGGTAATGAATGTGGCACCAGTGGATGGGCCTTGCTCTCTATGAGGGCAATGAATGTGGCACCAGTGGATGGACCTTGTTCTGTATGAGGGTTATGAATGGAGCAAAAGTGGATGGGCCTTTTTTTCTGTATGAGGGTTATGAATGTGGCACCAGTGGATGGATCTTGCCCTGTATTGGGGTAATGAATGTGGCACCAGTGGATTGGCCATGCTCTGTATGAGGGTAATGAATGTGGCACCAGTGGATGGGCCTTCCTCTCTATGAGGGTAATGAATGTGGCACCAGTGGATGGACCTTCTTCTATATGAGGCTAATGAATGTGGCACCAGTGGATGGGCCTTTTTCTGTATGAGGGTTATGAATGTGGCACCAGTGGATGGATCTTGCTCTGTATCAGGGTAATGAATGTGGCACCAGTGGATGGACCTTGTTCTGTATGAGGGTTATGAATGTGGCACCAGTGGATGGGCCTTTTTTTCTGTATGAGGCTAATGAATGTGGCACCAGTGGATGGACCATGCTCTGTATGAGGCTAATGAATGTGGCACCAGTGGATGGATCTTGCTCTGCATCAGGGTAATGAATGTGGCACCAGTGGATGGACCTTGTTCTGTATGAGGCTAATGAATGTGGCACCAGTGGATGGACCATGCTCTGTATGAGGGTAATGAATGTGGCACCAGTGGATGGATCTTGCTCTGTATCAGGGTAATGAATGTGGCACCAGTGGATGGGCCTTGCTCTGTATCAGGGTTATGAATGTGGCACCAGTGGATGGATCTTGCTCTGTATCAGGGTAATGAATGTGGCACCAGTGGATGGACCTTGTTCTCTATCAGGGTAATGAATGTGGCACCAGTGGATGGGCCTTGCTCTGTATCAGGGTAATGAATGTGGCACGAGTAGATGGGCCTTTTTCTGTATGAAGGTTATGAATGTGGCAAAAGTGGACGGATCTTGCTCTGTATCAGGATAATGAATGTGGCACCAGTGGATGGACCTTGATCTCTATCAAGGTGATGAATGTGGCACCAGTGGATGGACCTTGTTCCCTATCAGGGTAATGAATGTGGCACCAGTGGATGGATCTTGCTCTGTATCAGGGTAATGAATGTGGCACCAGTGGATGGGCCTTGCTCTGTATCAGGGTAATGAATGTGGCATGAGTGGATGGACCTTGTTCTCTATCAGGGTAATGAATATGGCCCCAGTGGATGGACCTTGTTCTCTATCACGGTAATGAATGTGGCACCAGTGGATGGACCTTGTTCTCTTTGAGGGTAATGAATGTGGCACCAGTGGATGGACCTTGTTCTGTATGAGGGTTATGAATGTGGCACCAGTGGATGGGCCTTTTTTCTGTATGAGGCTAATGAATGTGGCACCAGTGGATGGACCATGCTCTGTATGAGGCTAATGAATGTGGCACCAGTGGATGGATCTTGCTCTGCATCAGGGTAATGAATGTGGCACCAGTGGATGGACCTTGTTCTGTATGAGGCTTATGAATGTGGCACCAGTGGATGGACCATGCTCTGTATGAGGGTAATGAATGTGGCACCAGTGGATGGACCTTGCTCTGTATGAGAGTAATGAATGTGGCACCAGTGGATGGACCTTGTTCTATATGAGGCTAATGAATGTGGCACCAGTGGATGGACCTTGTTCTCTATCAGGGTAATGAATGTGGCACCAGTGGATGGGCCTTGCTCTGTATCACGGTAATGAATGTGGCACCAGTTGATGGACCTTGTTCTCTATGAGGGTAATGAATGTGGCACCAGTGGATGGACCTTGTTCTCTATCAGGGTAATGAATGTGGCACCAGTAGATGGGCCTTTTTCTGTATGAGGGTTATGAATGTGGCACCAGTGGATGGATCTTGCTCTGTATGAGGGTAATGAATGTGGCACCAGTGGATGGACCTTGTTCTCTATCACGGTAATGAATGTGGCACCAGTTGATGGACCTTGTTCTCTATGAGGGTAATGAATGTGGCCCCCTGTAGATGGGCCTTTTTCTGTATGAGGGTTATGAATGTGGAACCAGTGGATGG